AAGTGGTCTGGTATTCCCATCTCTTTCAGAATTTCCCACAGTTTATTGTGATCCACACAGTCAAAGGCTTTAGCGTGGTCAGTGGTGTTTTTCTGGAATTCCCTTGCTTTTTCTATGATCCAGTTCAGTTCAGTTTAGTCGCTCAGTTGTGTCTGACTCTTTGCGACCCCATGAACCGCAACATGCCAGGCCTCCCTGTCCGTCACCAATTCCCGGAGCCCACCCAAACCCATGTCCATCGAGTCGGTGATGCCATCCAACCTTCTCATCCTCTGTCGTCCCCTTCTCCACCTGCCCTCAATCTTTCCCAGCATCAGGGTCTTTCCAGTGAGTCAGCTCTTCGAGTCGGGTGGCCAGAGTATTGGAGTTTCAGCTTCAACACCAGTCCTTCCAATGAACACCCAGGACTGATCTTCTTTAGGATGGACTGGTTGGATCTCCTTGCAGTCCGAGGGACTCTCAAGAGTCTTCTCCAACACCACAGTTCAAAAGCATTAATTCTTCAGCACTCAGATTTCTTTATAGTCCAACTCTGACATCCATATATGACCCCTGGAAAAACCATAGCCTTGACTAGACGGACCTTTGTTGGCAAAGTAATGGCTATGCTTTTTAATATGCTATCTAGGTTGGTCATAACTTTCCTTCCAAGGAGTAAATGTCTTTTAATTTCATGGCTGCAGTCACCATCTGCAGTGATTTTGGAGCCCAGAAAAATTAAGTCTGACACTGTTTCCACTGTTTCCCCATCTATTTCCCATGAAGTGATGGGACCGGATGTCATGATCTTAGTTTTCAGAATGTTGAGCTTTAAGTCAACTTTTTCACTGTCCTCTTTCATCAAAAGGCTCTTTAGTTCTTCTTCACTTTCTGCCATAAGGGTGGTGTCATCTGCATATCTGAGGTTATTGATATTTCTCCCAGCAATCTTAATTCCAGCTTGTGCTTCCTCCAGCCCAGCATTTCTCATGATGTACTCTGCATAGAAGTTAAATAAGCAGGGTGACAATATACAGCCTTGATGTACTCCTTTTCCTATTTGGAACCAGTCCGTTGTTCCATGTCCAGTTCTAACTGTTGCTTCCTGACCTGCATACAAGTTTCTCAAGAGGCAGGTCAGGTGGTCTGGTATTCCCATCTCTTTCAGAATTTTCCACAGTTTATTGTGATCCGCACAGTCAAAGGCTTTGGCATAGTCAAATAGATGTCAAGCAGTCCAGCAGAAATAGATATTTTTCTGGAACTCTCTTGCTTTTTTGATGATCCAGCGGATGTTGGCTATGTAATATCTGGGCCCTCTGCCTTTTCTAAAACTAGCTTGAACATCTGGAAGTTCATGGTTCACGTATTGCTAAAGTCTGGCTTGGAGAATTTTAAGCATTACTTTACTAGCGTGTGAGATGAGTGCAATTGTATGGTAGTTTGAACATTCTTTGGCATTGCTTTTCCTTGGGATTGAAAGGAAAACTGACCTTTTCTAGTCCTATGGCCACTGTTAAGTTTTCCAAATTTACTGACATATCGAGTGCAGCACTTTAACGGCATCATCTTTTAGGATTTTAAGTAGCTCAGCTGGAATTCCATCACCCCTACTATTTTTGTTTGTAGTAATGCTTCCTAAGGCCCACTTGACTTCATACTCCAGGATGTCTGGCTCTAGGTGAGTGACCACACCATTGTGGTTATCTAGGTCATTAAGACCTTTTTTTGTACAGTTCTGTGTATTCTTGCCACTTCTTAATCTCTTCTGCTTCTGTTATGTCTTTATCATTTCTGTCCTTTATTGTGCCCATCTTTGCATGAAATGTTCCCTTGGTATCTCTAATTTTCTTGAAGAGATTTCTAGTCTTTCCCATTCTATTATTTGTGTTCAGGAAAAGTTAGGAAAATAGGTTGTTCTATACATATTTTTTTCTCCTGCCGTAATAATTGTAATGAGAAAAATTGGATGTTGACCTGTATCTGTTTATTCAGAAAGACAGTAGGATAAATCACTTTTCTCTCTACCTTCCTGTGTTGCTAACTTTCTACATGCAGAAAACCCAAGTCAGTACTGGAGCTGATTCCCATATTATTAGCCAAAGATATTAGAAATATGGGAGATCTGGTAAGTGGGCATGCTCTGAGGGCTTAGCTTAAGATTTATTTGAAAGCTATGTCTGACCTTCCTCCTTAGGCAATTTCATATAAAAATTGGACAGTAAGATTTTTTTTTAATGTCTTTTAGGAGCTGGAGCTGGGGTTTTTCACTCCAGCTATTGTTTTCCCAGTAATTGATCTTGAGGAAACATTTTGTCCATTGGGTTCTTTTAATTCTCAGTCTTTGGTCTTACTGCTCTCTGCACTGAAATCCAGTAGATCTTTGCAACTTTAGCTTCTACTTATTGCTTGACATTTTTCTTTCTCATTCTTGAATACTTTGTGGTGATGGTGTTTTTTTTCCACTTTCAGGGGCTACAACTTTTAAATCTCTCCTGTCATTTCTATGCATTTGAAAGTAGGGAAAGAGACAAATAGTGTTAATTTTCTTCATTGCTTTGAAGTTTTGATTGTAGGCTTTTCTTTAGTATGTTTTATTTTTTAAACTTTCTTTATCTCAGTTTTAGTATCACTTTCTAAGAATCAGTGTTAAAAAAAATGACCTCCTAAGGATTATATGGAACTGCTTAACGAGGATGATCATAGACATAGAGTTTTAATCAAGTCTTGAGCTAATGGAGCAACTTGATCTCAGCATCATTTTCGTATACTGAAAATACTGGTATCTTTTAATAATTCAGTATTTGTTTCTTAAAAATAGTACTAAGTAGAATAAGTTTCAAGTGTAGAAATTTATAAATGTAGAAGTATAAATGTAAATGTATTTACCCCTGCAATCTCTTCTGATGTAAATTATTAGCAAATTAAACTATTAGTATTATTCAAAAATAAATGCTACCAAAAAAAACCCCTTAATGTGCAAATGAAATAATATTTGATCTTTAAAGAATGGTTTACAAAAACAAAATAGTATTACCACTGAGTTGAGCTACTGCTCACGTGTTCCAGCTGCTGAAAAAGCTCTGACTCTATACACTAGTGGGAGATATTATGGGAAAATATTTCTAAACTGTTTCCAGTTTTTTTTCCTGTTTGTTTATTCTTTGTGGAACTCCATCTCTCTGTGATGACTTTTGGGGAGGCTGTAAGGTAAACAAGGATTCAGTCCTTTTACTGATGTCAAGCTGTAGTTTTGTTTCAAAGAAAGTTTTCTTTTGTCTTCATTATATGTACATGGAGACAGTATGAAGTGTACAAATGATGTTTCTTGGGAAAGTCTGAACTAGAGGAGAATATTCTTGTTAATAGAAGCTTCTGCCTGTCAATTTAAATGTTTTCTTCTTTGTGGAGATTAATTGAGGTCCTATAGTAGAGGACCTTTCAAATGAATGTACCCTTTTTGATTTGAAATGTTAACACAGAGTATAAATCTGGATATATCTAAAAATATGTGATCAGATTTTGCATTTTAAACTTATTAAAATATCAAAATTATACCAACGAAGATATATTGATATTTTGGTACTTACAAATAGCCTAGTATGCTAAAATGCTAGTATGAAAAATAGTTCAACTATCCTTGAGAGGGAATTTGTGGGTTGAGGATGGAGGGAGGGTGTCAGAATGTGAATGTAACAGTATCAACTTGACTGGAATTTGTATGTTAATTTTTAATGTATTCTTTTCTTTCAGTTGGAAAGAATCACTATTGTTTCAATGTATCTGCATTAATGATATCAGTGGGATGTAGATAGTGTTCATTGTGATTAAAAATATTTATGGTTTACTGTTACCACCTCTACACCATTCTCTATAGAATATTTTCACAAAGTGTTGACATGTTTCTTAAAGAACAGAAATTGAAAATATGAAATATTACTTGTAAATAAACATAATATGTACAGTTTTTCTAGAATTAGTAAAGTAAAAATTCAAGTTTCCTTTCTAAGTTTTCCATGTGATTTCCCCCATATTTTCTTCCTACCCAGATCCTTAAAATCTCTCTTTATTACCGTTTCATTTTCTGCAATCCTTTAGCTTCTTCTTTACCCTTCCAATTTTCCACTGGTGGTTGAGATGAGGGAAATGAGTTAAGTATATTGAACCTCTAAGACTTAGGAAGTATTTTGCTACATCATTTTCTAATAGCAAGACCTTGGGCTTGCCAAAGTGGCTTAATCTTTCTAAACTGTAATTTGTTTCTTTTTTAAATGAGAATATGTCTTTTTCTGCCTTCCTCGGAGTTACTTGGGGATGAAGCAATACATGGCCCAGTGTTTTAGAAATACTGTTTCTTTCATAAGCATATCCCCTCCATTGACTTGGTTTGTTTCTTATTAGTTTTTTTCACTCCCACCAAGTTACATATATGTACTTTTTCCTATTTTGATTATGAATTTAATGCATGCTTGTAGAAAGTCTAGAAAATACAGAAAACTTAAAGAAAAAAATAGAAACCTGAAAATGCCTCATCCTGTTTTCATGTTTTTAAGGGAAATTTAGTTTTGAACCTCACTTTCCTGAGGGTAAGGATAGTTTAGTGTCTCACTTATTTTTAGATTTTCTTTTCTTTCCATGCACTAGGCGCACAATTAATGCTTGTTGAATGAATGGGAACTAAAACTTATTCTAGGTATACAAAGTTAAAAGCTTTGTAAAACTTTACTGGGCATTCAAAGAGAGAAAAAATATCTGACTCACAAGAAATAATAGTGGATGTACATTTTAAAATGACCTTTTTCTATTGGCTAAAAGTACAGTGGAAAATATGATAGGATCAACCCTAATATTCTCTGGCAGAAGTTAGGAAACTATTTAAAGCTATTGGATTGGGCAATTTCAGATCAAAGTGGATCGACATTTATTTAGTGAGAGTAGCACAGTAAAATTTAAAGGCTTTTTGTCTTGAATGATTGAAAATTGTAATAACTTTTTTTCCCTCTTTATTTTTTGTTAAACAGGATGGCTTAAATTCTTTGGTCCTTGATTTGGATTTTCCTGCTTTGAGGAAAAACAAAAATATAGATAATTTCTTAAATAGATGTAAGTATGTGTAAACTTCATATGTGATCACATAACTCTACTTTTGATGAGAGATTTATGTTTAATATCATTACAGTCCACAAACTTTTAAATCATTAAATATTTTTAGTTTGCCACCTGACATATTTGAATACTAATATCCTTTATTTTCAAACCAAAATTGGAAAACCAATTAAAGTATGTGAAATAGGTAAAGTTCAAAATTTTGTATAAATTAAGACTATTTAACATTATCAGAATAGGTCATTTATGACGGTTCCAAGAGAAGCTTTCAGCTAATATTAATAAATCTAAACTTAGCTTGCTTTTTTCAGTAAGCTAAGAGAGTTAGCTTGAAAAAGAAAAAGCAAGAGAATTCTAGAAAAACATCTACTTCTGCTTTATTGACTACACCAAAGCCTTTGACTGTGTGGATCACAACAAACTGTGGAAATTCTTAGCGATGGGAATACCAGACCACGCTACCTGCCTCTTAAGAAACCTGTATGCAGGTCAAGAAGCAACAGTTAGGACTAGACTTGGAACAACGGACTGGTTCCAAATTGGAAAAGTGTATGTTAAGGCTGCATATTGTCACCCTGCTTATTTAACTCATATGCAGAGTACATCATGTGAAATGGAAAGCACAAGCTGGAGTCAAGATTGCTGGGAGAAATATCAATAACCTCAGATATGCAGATAACACCACCCTATGGCAGAAAGTGAGGAAGAACTGAAGAGCCTCTTGATGAAAGTGAAAGAGGAGAGTGAAAAAGCTGACTTAAAACTCAGCATTCAAAAAACTAATATCATGGCACCAGGTCCCATCACTTCATGGCAAATAGATGGGGAAACAATGGAAAGAAGGACCGACTTTATTTTCTGGGGCTCCAAAATCTCTGCAGATGGTGACTGCAGCCATGAAATTAAAAGATGCTTGCACCTTGGAAGAAAAACCATGACCTACCTAGATAGCATATTAAAAAGCAGAGATATTACTTTGCAAGAATGGTTCATCTATCCAAGCTATGATTTTTCCAGTCATCATGTATGGTTGTGAGAGTTGGACCATAAAGAAGGCTGAGCGCCGGAGAATTGATGCTTTTGAACTGTGGTGTTGGAGAAGACTCTTGAAAGTCCCTTGGACTGCAGGGAGATCCAGCCAGTCAGTCCAAAGGGAAATCAGTTCTGAATATTCATTGGAAGGACTGATGCTGAAGCTGTAGCTCCAATTCTTTGGCCACCTGATGTGAAGAACTGACTCATTTGAAAAGACCCTAATGCTGGGAAAGATCGAAGGCAGGAGGAGAAGAGGTTGACAGAGGATGAGATGGTTGATGGCATCACCGAATCGATGGTCGTGAGTTTGAGCAAGCTCTGGGAGTTGGTGATGGACAGGGAAGCCTGGTGTGCTACTGTAATCCCTGGGGTTGCAATCAGACATGACTGTGAGACTAAACTAAACTGAAGACTTAGCTTTACGTTACCCGGAAGACTAAATGAGCTTTATGTTTGTTTAAATGTAGATATTTCAGTCTAGTTAAAGAAAGATAATGTGATAACAGTTATTGCCATAAATGTGGTAACTTTTAATAACTTTTAATATTTAGCAGTATTGATGTTCCAGTGAAGTTGTGAATGAATTGAATTCTGAGAATTAGAAATTCTCAAAATAATTGTGTACACTTTATGTGAACACAGTAAGCTTTTTAATTTGGAATTATCAGAGTCTGGGCTATTTTCCTAATTAAAAACTTACCTGTAGTTATCAAATCTACAATATGTGATTAATGTTTTTCAAAGAAATAGGCTACCAGAATTCATTATGAAGATTAACCTTGTATAACTTGGTAGCAGCTTTCTGCCATGATTTAGAGTGTACTCCAGGATTGCTTGGGTCATCACCGTTTTAGCTGTTATCTAACTTGCTACACAAGAGTTGGAAACAGCATTGCTTAAATACTGCTTTTTTGGTAGTCTTATATGTAGAGTTTTCATCCTTTGATGTAAAGTTTATGTGTCTTAGATTTTTTAACAACAGCATTTAAAACTGATAGATTTAGCTGAAAACTAAACCCAATATTTGAAATACAAATTTATTTACCAATATGGTAATTATTTTAAAATGTTGTTTATAAATATGGTGATTGATATTATGGTGATCTTTTTATTGTAGATGAGAAAATTGTGAAAAAGATTAGAGGTTTACAGATGAAGGCAGAAGACTACGATGTTGTAAAAGTTATTGGAAGAGGTGCTTTTGGTGAAGTCCAGTTGGTAAGAGAGAATTTGTTTTGTTCTTTTTATTATTTGTCTTGATGACGTGGTTTTGTGAAACATTTGTCAGTGGCCCTAGAGTGAATCTTATTTCTGTGTCCAACCATGGCAGAAAATTAGCTTTATGAGTTTCATCATTTCATTTCTTAAGCACATTGGTATCTTCATTTATGAAAGGAGACAATTATACTCTAAATACCAGGTCTTTTACAACTCTAAAATACTGGGATTTAGAATAAGACCAAGTTGGCTTCACACATGATCTGCTTAGTAGTTAAAATTCTTTCAGAACTACTGTGTTTTTATTTAGTATGTTCAGATTCATAACATCTCTGCTTAATTAAGTGACATTTAATATGAAAATTTTAATATTTGAAAGAAAATGTAAAACTTGCCTTTGCAGGGCAAAGTGATAGCACTAGAAATACTTATAAATGTTTGCAGACATTTCAGACATTTTATTTATATTATTATATGAGGAACAGTAATGTAATAATTTCTTTTTTCATCACCTGAATATGGAACTTCTCTTTTCTTTTTCTTATAGTTAAACTATAAGAGTCAAATTCTCTTTTTAACTTAATGGTGCTTTATTCTCCTGCTGGAGCACCAGGAAAACTGTGTGCTAGCATGGGTTTCTCTAGGAATACATCATGACAGAGTAACCTGTCTTTTTCTTTCATCTCTTGTCTCTTTGATAGGCTTATTGAACTTGTAGATCAAGGTAGTACAATAGATGTAATATATATCTATAAGATATTTGAAAAGTCTGACATACTTGTGAATATCTGGAGAAATATTGAATAAGCATATGGGTAGAGAGCTTTAAAACTAAGTTAACAACTGTTGAAGGTGTGAATGGTTCCTTGGACACAGATCCCCAGGGACAGTTTTTAGAATTCTTTCCTCTCCTATTAAACATTTTATTAATGACTTATATTGAGGCAGTGGTGACAGGTTGAATAACTTTGTAGATGAGTTAAAACTGAAGTGTGAGGATGATTTTAGAAGATGAGCCAAACCCCAGAAATCAACTGGGGAGATAATTAGCCAAATGGAATAAATGAAATTTAACCATGTGGGAGAAGGCGAGGGTGGGATGTTTCAAGAGAACAGCATCGAAACATGTATATTATCTAGGGTGAAACAGATCACCAGCCCAGGTTGGATGCATGAGACAAGTGCTCGGGCCTGGTGCACTGGGAAGACCCAGAGGGATCGGGTGGAGAGGGAGGTGGGAGGGGGGACCGGGATGGGGAATACATGTAAATCCATGGCTGAATTCATGTCAATGTATGACAAAAACCACTGCAATGTTGTAAAGTAATTAGCCTCCAACTAATAAAAATAAATGAAAAAAAAAAAAAGAAATTTAACCAGAATGATTACCTGTATTTGGATATGAAGAATTCAAGAAATAGATTGCTAAACAGTATATTAAAGAATGATTATTCTTGAATGTAGACCAGGCAAAAACCATTGATGATATGGCTACCAAAATAGTAAAGTTTGGACTTCTTTAATAAATTTCTGAGATAATACAGATAGATTTTCTCTAATTTGAGGTGATTGGGTCATCTCTGAATATTTAATTCAATCTAGATGCCCTGTTGCCTTGTTTTATTTTTTATTTTTTTCCCCAATTATTTTTATCAGCCAATGAATGGATAAGAAAGCTGTGGTACATACACACAGTGGAATATTACTCAGCCATTAAAAAGAATACATTTGAATCAGTTCTAATGAGATGGATAAAACTGGAGCCCATTATACAGAGTGAAGTAAGCCAGAAAGATAAACACCAATATAGTATACTAATGCATATATATGGAATTTAGCAGGATGATAACGATAACCCTATATGCAAGACAGAAAAAGAGACACAGACATATAGAACAGACTTTTGGACTCTATGGGAGAAGGCGAGGGTGGGATGATCTGAGAGAACAGCATTGAAACATGCTGCCTTGTTTTAAAAGATATGTTGTTGGAGAGTATCAAGGGACAAATAATGCCCAGGGACTTGAAATAATGCCACCTATGGTATTATTGAATGAATTGAGACGTCGATTTGGAGTAGATTTTAGGAATGGGCTGCCTTGGAAAGTAAAGAGGTTTTGTTTTATTTTTTGTTCTTAGTGGAAGTGCTGAAGCTTCAGCTAGCAGAATGCTCTAGTGGGTAGGGTGGGAGATTAAGTTACATGACAGTTCATATGAAAGTTTCTAGAAGATAGGGAAATTATAAAGTAGTTGAATCTGAGCTCTGCCATGGCCTAACTCAAAAGACCATGAGTACAGGCAGATTTCTCAATCACTCTGAATTCCAATCTGTAGAATGCTGATGTCAAACCCGTGTCATGGAGGTCGTTATAGGAAAACTAAATGAATTTAAAAAGTAAGCCTGGTTGTAGTATTCTCTGAGTGTTAACCATTGTCATTATTTGCTGTTTGATATAGAAGTCATATCACATGTATTTGAAATAGGCACATTGTTTCTTCATGCTATATGATTATGGAAGAGACCCTAGAATTTTACGTTGTATTTTTGGAAAGAAATATGACAGACCTTGACTTGTCATGTTTTGGTGACAGGGTGGTCACGGTTGTGTGTTAGGTTAACTTGATCATTAAAATTTAATATGTTGAAGAAGTCTTTTATTTTTGTTGTTAATTTCCATCCTATATTTCATTTGGCCACAAAATATGCAGAAACAAAGTTAAATGTTTTTAAAAATGAAAATTATTTTAACATTCCATTAATCTGATGACCTGACCTGAGAGCTTGTACATGTTTGTTTCGGATTTAGTTCTTGGTTGTTACCTTAACCAGGGACTCTTCAAAAGAAGGGTGAGAATAAAAAGGAAAAGTCCAGGTGCTTTTCCCCATTGCCTTTTGAAGTTGATTTGTGTGTGGTAATAAATTAGGCAGATGTGTAGGGAATGTTCCATGTTCGGCATATTTTTATGATTATGTTTTTCTAGTCATATGAAGAAAGTTTTACAGTAGTGGGTGCAACTGTGTCTTCCCTTGTGAAATGCTTTTTCTGGTCAAGTTAAAAATACATTATCACAGAGGACATATCATTCAGTTTCTACAAAGATTCTCATTGTTAAAGTAACTCTGGTGTGTCATAGCAGCTATTCCATAGTGTAAAAGCTAGAGTCAGGCTGCTTAAAGTTGAATTCTGACTCTTGCTGACTAGCTGTGATGTCAGACAAGTTACTTAATCTCTCCATGCCTTAAGTTTCTAATCTGTTAATGAAGATAACAATAGCATCTATGTCTCATGGGATTACATGGAAGAAGTAAATGTGACAATATATATATAAAGCATTTGGAACAGTTATAGTAAACACTTAGTAAACATTAGCAGTTAATTATCAGATATAAAATGGCACGTTTATCTGTATCTATCAATGAAATATTTAATCTGGATCTGTTATGTTCCAGGAGCTGTGCTAGCCTCTAAAGATATAATAGAATAATCATTCAATCATGTCCGACTCTTTGCGACCCCATGGACTATAACCCGTCAGGCTCCTCTGTCTATGGAATTTTCCAGGCAGGAATACTGGAGTGGGTAGCCATTCCCTTTTCCAGGGTATCTTCCTGACCCAGGGATCGAACCCAGGTCTCTCACACTGCAGGCAGATTCTTCATGGTCTGAGCCACCAGGGAAGTCCCCTTGCCATCTGAGCCACCAGCGGAGCCCCAGAGATACAGTAACATAGCCTCTTGCAAATACTTGGGAGCGACTGAAGCGACTTAGAGCACGTACACGCACACATGCGTGCACGCGCACACACACACACACACACACACACACACACACTTGCTGAGAGTGGTAGTTTTGTGCAAGAGATGAAGAATTTTACCTTAAACGGGTAAAGCATTTTTAGATTATGATAAACACTATGAAGGAAAAGATCTGTATGCTATGAAAGAGAATAATGGCGGAATGTGCCTTATTCGATTGGGAAGTTGGAAATGCTCTTGCTGTGAGATAGTGACAATTAAGTTAAAGGGGTTGGCCACGTGAAGAAGTGTGGATGGAATGGGAGTCAAAATACAGAGGGAGTACTTGTGAAAGTGGCATGAACCAGGAAAGTGACAAGTCATTTAACTTACTTGGGTGTAGATTTCCTCATCAGAAGAGTCATTTTTTTGTGGGTTGAAAGTTCTGTCATCCCAGGAAGGCAGAATTTGTTTATCTTGTTGTATTATGTTTTTTTGTTTTTTTTTTCCTATCTACCAAGATGTATATTTAACTTCTGTTTTTATATCATGAAAAGTTGGTAACAATAGATGATTTTATGTATAAAATCCTTATTGTTTTGTACTGTGGAAAAAAGAGTCAGTCATCCACTTTTGTTTCCATTCTTTGGTACATAGATTTCCTGTCATCAGAGCTTTCATTTCTTTTATCTTCGAGTGGCACTAATAATAGGACTTTTATAAGATATTTTTGTGAGTACTAAATTATATTATACATATGTGGTACTTATCATGGACCTGGCACATTATAGATATCCAGTAAATATCAGCTGTTGTCACTATTGTGACTTCTTCATTAAGATGTATCACAGACATCTAAAACGTGAATTAGAATGCTTGATTCCTTGTCAAACTTTGCTCTTCCTCACCAAATCTTTTCCTTCTCTTACTTTCCCATCTTAATAAATAAATGGTTTGAGCATCAACCCAGTTGATGCTCAAACCCCCAAATTAGGGGTCATTATTGATTTCTCTTCCCCTTATTTCTTACATTTAATTTTTTGGTAAGTTCTGCTCATAATGTTTCTCCAGTCTCTCCACTTTTGGGGGATATTCACCTTTCTCCAAGATACCTAGTCAAGTATGAGGGCCTGCTTTGTGTCTTGCTTTGTTTTTTACTTCTGCTAATAGTTTCACGGTTGTACTATTGATTTTGGATTGGGAAGTGCTGATGGAGAAAATACCAAGACTTATTAAATCTTCTGCAAATTCATGTCACCTAAGC